GATTCTGAGATTCTCAACCCTCCACCCTCAAAATTTGGCCTCGTTGTTGGACCAGGACTCCACGTCTGCCAGGGTGCCCAAGGCTGCCGCCGTAAGCTGGCACCGAGGTGCTTGGGTTGGGGGTCGGGATTGTACGGGTTGAGCCAAGGCGTCGAAAGGGCCAGGAGTCCAAGGGCTAAGGGCTGCAGCTGGTTGAAGGATTCAGGGGCTTAGGCATTGGCTGTACATTATTGTCGAGCATCCCGTCTGAAACTTTTCCTTGGAACGTCCTCACCTGGTGCTGAAATGTGCTGAAAACCGCGAACCCTAAGGGCCGCAGAGTCAACATCCAAGGACCTTCAACTCGCCACTTAGGCCCCTGAAGCCCAAATGCCCAAGTCTTCTGGGGCCTGTGGAGTCAGCGAGGAGTCGGCAAAGCCCACACCTTTGACCACCACGCGTGCGCCACCCTCCTGTCGGCTTGCGGGCAGAGGATCGTGAACCGACAGAGTGCTGATTTCCTCTGTCCTCTGCATGGCCTCTGAAACTCGCAGAGAGAGAGAGAAAGAGAGAAAGAATAAATAAAAACAGGAAAAGCAACCCTAAATGTTTTGTTACCAAGGAAGCCCCGAACCTCGGAGCCGAAGCGAGGCCAAACGCTGTGCACCTCGAAGCGCCTGGGGTTCAGGAGTCGCGGGTCATCGCTGAAAAGAAATTTAAAAAGAACTTGATTGAAACGTAACTCGAGATTCCGTGATCTGGCAAAGTTCTGTTTTTCGGGGAACCGCCAGCAAAGCCCCTACACATTCAGACTAAGCCCCCTGCGTGTCGAGATAGGAGGAATTCTCGGAGATGCCATAGCCGCGGCTTGTGACCTGCACTCGTGCAATGACAGCCTTGCGAGGAACGACGGGCCAGGGGACCTCCGGGGCTTTCGGGCGAAATCGTTATCACCTTGGGGCAGCAGAGCCCTTTGGCCCGTCGGGACCCGGACCCCGTTGATTATGTTCGATTGTTCTGCTCAGCTCAAGTGCTGAGGATGCCATGTTTTCAGGAATCAAAATAGGCGATGTGAGAACAACACCCACTAGCTCACTCTAGAAACCCTTCAAGAATCTCGGCCCCCTCTGTGGCATCTACAAGCTCCACAATGCCAAGGTGCCAGGAGAGTAGGCTTCACGAAGAACTCCGCTGGCTTCACGACACCTGAATTGTCATGAGCTCAGCATTTGCGTACAGGGTCGCGCTCCAGTTCGGGCTCAGAGTGACGTAAAAATGTCGGGGTCTGTGATGGAGTCATGGACTTGTAATTGTAAAGGCTGAGCTAGGTTCGTTGGAGTTCGCAGGTTTCCTTACGATTCAAGCCCCTTCTGCTTGGAAATTCTCCTCCTGATCCGCAACAAAAATATAGAAGGAGAGAAGCACTGAGGTTCGGGTTAGGTTTAGCCGGGGGGGTGGATGGACTCAGGTTGCAGCGCATACGGTAAAGAACAGCGACCGCGGGCAGAAGGCTCCACACTTGGCGCCCTGACAAGAACCTCGAAACGTCCCTAAACTCCGAAAAGGCGGTGCTCTGTACGGTACACTTCTCATGCAGCCCATCCCAGCCCCAGGCCGGGCAACGACACCAAAAAGGAAAGCCCGGTATCCAAGTTCTGTTTGCCAGGTGGCAATCCGGGTTGTAGATGTCCTGGCCGGCTCTTTGGGCTCTGGGAGCGGCTGTGTAAGGCTTGGAGTTCAGACCGCTTCAGGTGCTGGGGTGTCGGATGAGGCTTCCTGCATTTGAAGGTTTCAGGCGCTGGGGGAGGCGCGGCTTTCTTTTCCAGGGTGTACGAGCTTGACGGTGTCCACCAGTGAGTAAGCCCTAGTCTACCTAAATACCGATAAAAGACCATTTCAAAAAAAAACACACACACACACACACACACACACACTGTAGGCCTTTCCCGCTATTAGCGCCACGGGTGGGAACGTTCTCCCCCAGGCCACGCGGATCTCAACGGCACTCTGACCTTTTGGTTGTCCTGGGCCTTCCGCGTACCAACTTGTTCCCCTCCACAGCACACGGCAACACCGGTACACTTCGGGTAAGCTTGAAGGCCCAAAGAAAGGCCCACTCAAAACACTCCAAACACCTCCCGCCCGACCTTGTTTTCGGTGCAAAGGGCAGGCTGCGCCATCGCAGAGCGCCTGAGAACAAAGGTCCAGCAGCCACGGCAGTGGCACAAAACTGCTTTTGTGCACGTCAAGTCGCTGCCGGATCACCCACTGTAGGCGGAATCGCCTACAAAACCCTCTACACTCTTGAACTCGGAGGCCCGATTTCTGCAGCACAGGCTCCTGGAGAGAAAGCTTTGACGGGCTTCGTATATTCTCGGGCGGGCCCAGGCGATCAACGTGCAGTGTTTGTAATTACTGCGGCAGAACGACTTCTAAACCAAAAAACCCTGAAAAGGACTTCGAACCTGCCACCGTAAGTTTCCCCCGCAGTGCTTCCACGGCACTTCAGCTGGCAAAGAATGGCGGTTTGATTCACCTCCCAAACACGGCCTCAGCTGTCAGCTTCGGGGCCCTCCCCCACACCCCAAACTATGGCCGTAACAAGAACAAGAATACTAGTAGCAATCGTCGTGGTGGCGGTGTTGACGTCATCGCGATAACGGCATAATGAGAGTTATGACGATTCGGATGAAGAAGTCGAATACTGCAAAGAAGAAGCAGAAGCAAATAAACCCAAGAAAACCTGAACCCGAACTGCATGCTGAGGAAAAGATTTTGCATTTGACGGCGGCCCTCAAACCCCTTTGGCGTGGCTGGGTTTGGGTCTGGGAGAGGGGTCCGCCTGAGATTGGAGCCACCTGCCGACACAAGGCCAACCCTTGGGCGTTTAAGGGCGAATCAAATCTCGGTGCCCCTACTCAGAACCAACAGCTATTTTAGGGTGGGTTTAGGGCTTAGAGAGGGTCAATTCTAACCCTACTATGACTTCAGGTGTCTGGATGCTGCCCCAGACACACGGCCGCTCACCGAACATCACTTGCACCTGCCATCACTTTCCGTGCGATTTGATGGGTATTTAAGGTCTTGGTGGCTTCGACCTGCGTTCGCGCGCCAGGCGCACGGCTACAGGAAGGTTCGGGTGGCACGGGCGTTGACCAGACAAACCCCTTTTTTGCGAACCGCCGGTGCCGTGCTTGTCGCAAGTCTGATGCCAGCCTCGGCTGCACACGGGCAGGGAAGCAAAAGGGCGAAGGCCTAAACCGTGAAAACACGATGACATGCGCCGCTGGGCAGACAGACTTTGTCATGGTGCGAAAGGAGCTTCGGGTGCAGATCGCTGCTCCAGGTTTTGCCGCTTGGCCATGAGCTCTGAACCTTGTCTACATGGTCGGACCTAGACACAGGTACCTGATCCTAGCCGGCGAGCTCGCCACAGCCCATTCTGCACCGAGAATCAGCAGACCCTCACGGCCGCCGAAGTGGAGAAGGCTTGCCCGCAGTTTCCAGGTGGCTCCAGGCGAGGTGACTCGCCTTGCGGGCACACGCTTTAGAACTAGATGCAGCTTCGGGCATCCGTGGGCCTGTCCCAGCCCTCAGTATGTGCAAGGCTTAGGCAAGGAAAGCGGTGAGTACCGTTGAAATTTGGGGTTTGGGTAGCTTTTTTCGGCCTGGGGTAAACGAGAGGCCCGACATTCAAGGGCCAAAGCTGAGCTCCAAGCATGTCCAAGGTCAAGCGTGTTTTTACGGATCCCAGAGACAGTTCGTTCTGAACAACCTACGGAACATCCCGTGCCTCCCTGCCATCCACCTCTGACCACATCCTCGGCAGCCTGGCGTTAAATTCCAATATGTAGGGCTCGGCCGGGCTTAGGGGGTCAATTGCAGGTTGAGCCCGAAGGATGCAGTGGTGAATCGTGCTCGCTGTTTGCAGCTCTTGCAGGCTACACACAATACTTGTCGAAGGGGTGCACAGAAACAGTGGGGCCTGAAGCCACGCACAATACAATGATCTCATGCCGGGTTCATGTCGAATTCGTGTTGAAGCAAACGCCAATCGCCAAAACCTTAAAGCAAAACTGCGGCCTAGGCTGCTGGGGAGTTCAGGGGTATGGTGGGACTCGAGATCCTGAACTTTTTAATCTCAGTCCTTAAACCCCCAAAACCCCTGCTCGTACAAGCCTTCCCCAAACCTGACAGACATCCCCAACTC